TATATGTATGTGTACGTATGTGTACATGTACTGTATACATGTATATATATATATGTACACACACACACATATATATAGCATTACACACACACACATATATGTGTGTGTGTGTGTGTCGTGCTCCCGGTAGACCTTCCTGTCCACTATTTAATGTCCTCTCTCGGAGTCGTCTCCTTCCAGAAGAAAGCTATCGTTCTCGTCCCGGTCCGTGCATCAACTTTAGTCAGCCCTAGCCTTTTGCGCCACCAAGCCGTCCTCGTAGGCCGCTTTGGTCCTTATGAAGATCGCCAACATGCTCCACACCTCCGTTGGATCTCGCTCTTTGACGTCTTCGGATCCCAGCATACCTGATGCCTTTCCTCACACCAGCAATCACGACTTGGTTCCCCACTGCTCCTTCGGCTGCACCTTCGCGCTGCCTACCAAGCTGCTGCGCTTCAGCTGCTGACTCTGCTGCTCAGCTGTTCCTCCTCAGCAGCTCCTCTTTCACTTTTGCCAACGTCTGCGACAAAGTCTGTCTGTCAAAGTGTCTGTCTGTGTGTCTGTGTGCCTCTGCTCACACCTGCGCTGCTGGCTGCTTAAGACCGCTCTGACTCCGCCTCCGACAGACCTGGAAGGTAATCAGGTAACAGGACACACCTGCAAGTGATAATTAACACATAGCAGGAGCGTCACACCATCTAGTGGTAAAATTATTTTTCTTTGACAGATTGGCACAAATCGGCGCAGAATGGGGAGGTAATTCGTAGAAACAGACTTTTAAATCATGGTTGTAAAACAAAAAATAGTTATGGATTGCTAGTTCTGCTGCTTCTAGGTCATTTTCTCATGTTTATAGTAGGGCTTCAGTAGGAAAACACGCAGATATAATTTTAAACTGTTCTTTACTAATATTTAATATTTATTGCTGTGGAGTCCCTCGGAGAGGAAGTACAAACTGCACAGCTGAGTGTGGTTCTGTAGATCAGAACCACAGGTGGATTGTCACCCAGTGAAGAAGTTCTAACTGCTTCCTGCCATTCAAAAAATTGTGGGAACACTACAGTCTCTACTAAGTGAAAACCGTCACTGAGAAGGGTCAGAAGTCAGAGTATAAAGCTCTGTGAACGACATGTGGACTGTGGGGTTGCTGTTTCCTCACAGTGAAGGTCCATTGTGTTAAGTAGAGACGGTTTTCCCCTTCATTGTTCAAGAAAATTATGAAGTTTTAATGAATTATGTGGCTACAAAATGCAGTGAGACTAGATGTGACTTTAGACAAAATTGATGTTTGAGTGTGAAACATTATTTGTGATTAGTGTTACTCAAAATTTAATTTAGAGCAAATCCACACATCATTTTATGAAATTAGTAAAACCCCTAAAAGTGCAAAGGAGAAATTTAGGTCCACAATTATCACATTTGCACTTTGGGAGACTAGTGCCCACCACTGCTATCACTCATCAAATACATTGTTTCATCAGTTGAAGTTATTGAAGTTCTATGATTTGGTTGATTATGGTATTTTATCAGTTATGTATAGGGCTCATAAAAACACATTACCTTCAAACGTTTGTGGCAACTTGGAGAGTTTTAGAAAAGTTTTTAAGGTTCAACAACGCCACCTGGGACTTCCACCCCAAGAATAAAACTCAAAACAAGGCACTTAGGCTCTTTCTACAGATTACAGAGACTGTGTTCCAAAGTTAAAATATGAATTTATTACAATTGTTAAAACACATCTGAGGCAAGTTAAAAAATAATTTACAGTGATAACTTCGTTCAGGCTGAGGCGTCCTAGTGACGGTCAAAAAAAAAAGACAAATAAACACACAGACGCACAAACCAAATCACCCAAACAGTGCTCCACAATACAAGGAGTGAACAGGGCCCGTCACACCAAGGGAACCACCACCGAACACAAGACCGCCCCAGTCAGCTCTCAGCCTGCAACAAAAAAGAACAAAATAAACGAAAATAATGACAAAGGAAAATAATAATACCAATGAAATTAAACAGGCCTCCCAATAAATAAGTAAACAAACAAGAAAAAAAGAACTAAAAGGGCCTGGTCTCAAAATCAGCTTGCATTAGATTCAGAGGCGAAAACGCTGTTGAACAAGGAAACTTGGGGACCCAGTTGAGCGTCAAGAAGCCAGATGCAAGGACCAGGTGAGTGAATTTAATAATAGAGAAAGAAACTAAAACAAGTAAGCAAAACAGCAGGTGTCCGTAGACTGGGCTCTTTCCACGCTACCAATTAAACAGGTGTGAGGGGAGGAAGACAACCTCACCCTTGTTGCATGGAAGCCCCGTCGTCAGGAGGAGGAGGAGGCACTTGTGTCCTACGTTGAGCAGACAAACTTTTTCCTCAACAAGCCAATAAGTTCATAAATAAACAGTCCGGCTGCAAACTTCTCCTTCGCTTTCTTAGAAAACTGTACTCCAACAGAGTAAGTCAATTAAACCAGTGTCATGCCNTTCTTAGAAAACTGTACTCCAACAGAGTAAGTCAATTAAACCAGTGTCATGCCGTGGCACTGGTAACCCGGAAGTTCAGTGAAAGGTCACAGTAAGGAAACTGGCTCACTTAAGTAGGGCACCCCCTTCTGGTGATTGGCCAACCAATTTACCTGCTCAGGTACCAGGTAACACCCATTCTGCTACACATCCAATTACATTTTGTTAAAAGAGGGAGTTGTTACAGTCTCAAGGGAATAGAGATTTTTGTTAAACCTAAATTTAGAACCAGTTTAAAGGAATGGAGTACTTCAATCAGTGGCGGATGCTGGTCTTTCAAGAAGGGTAAGCTCATAAATCATAAAAGTGTTTGTTTATTTATATGTAAATTCTACCTTCCGTTCCTTTTTAAAAAAAAAATAAAGATCTGTGACCCTGTCACAGATCATTTTACAGCACTTTCAGTCAGACAGCTCACTTTGTTATACCAGGACAGCTGAAAAGACCTGTTACTTTTCCCCACCTTTTGCACCAAATTAATCTGAGGAGTTGATCAGCCCTGCTGTTTAACTCTGTTTTTCTTCATAAGGAAGACTATCAAATGGCTTCACCAAAATCCGGTCCACAACATTCACACTGTCTACCATTATGTGCAGYTTGCTGCATGAGGCTAGTGTGAAGTATGTCTGCCTGTGAGTGCTTTGTGATGGGGAAGTGGCTCAGCAGCACCTGCTGGACAGAAACTGCAATAGAAGTCAGAAAGAGTGATAGACGTCTGTCTYCAAACACAAGCAGCTACAAAACAACTACCTGAAATAGAAGCTCGATTTGTCGCTAGTCGTTTTTAACAAAGAAAATGCTGCTAAAAGGATTAATAAAATCTCCGGTTCAACTCAGAACAGAATGAAACTAAAAAATGCTCCCACAGATGTTTACACCAAAAAATTGCTGATTCACTCATTTCGCTGTCAATCAAAAAGGGATTCAGCCTCAGACAGATCATCCAATCATCATGCAGAATCTGAGCGTCCGAGCCAGCCAAGGTCAGTCCACTGCTCCATAGACCCTAAGAGACGCTGAGCGTCTGATGGGTGGGACAAAGCCCAGCATTTATCCAATGACTCGTCTCGTTTTGCTGCACTCTTTGCCTCACTATTGAACTCTGTGGAAGCTCAACGTCCACAAGGCTGCGGGAATGAGTGAGAGGAAAGCCAAGTCGTTACTGGTGATAAGAAGCTGATTCTGAACTAAAGTTGAGCGCATTGTAGCGCATATTTAGTCAATGACATGTACTCACAACAGAATATATTTGATCACTTATATTTTTGACATTTTAGGGGAAGCTGAGCTTCCCTTGCAGTCTTAGAGCAATCGCCTCTGACTACAATCCAGGGTATAAAATATGGAATAATCTGGAGGATGACATTAAAAATGCCAGATCAATGTGAAGAAATGCCCCTTATCAAAACCATGACTATGATTTTAATCACGAGCATCTCTAGGTTCGTGAGGCCCCGGTTGTTCAAAACAGTTCGGTCACCAAAATACAYCCAGAAAACTCACAAGAGTTGTAGTTTTATTTTCTGCCTGTTACAACGTAACCAGGCTTTTATTTAAAATAAAGTTGAAGAAAAGGTTTACAAGTGAATGATTATTTGGTTAATTGAAAACTCTCATTTTGATAATTATTACTAATAATAATACTTTGAAATTTAAAAACACTTTCAAACATGTGGGTGTGTGAGTGAGGCTGTATGTGTGGAGAGAGAGAGAGAGAGAGAGAGAGAGAGAGAACAGAGTTATACTGAATTATTATGTTTTCTTAAAGGGGACCTAATATGCAAAATGCACTTTTTAAAGTTTTTTATACTCAACTTTGGGTATGTACTTCATAAAAAAAAACAGTCCTGGGACCAAAAAATGCACCCAGGGGTTTATTTACTCTAAGTAAATGTACACTCACTGGCCATTTTATTAGGTACACCACGCTAGTAACGGGTTGGACCCCCTTTTGCCTTCAGAACTGCCTCAATTCTTCGTGGCATAGATTCAACAAGGT